TAAGCTTATAGGAATCTATACCATCCCACCCCGTAATATCGGTGGCGGTGTATTGTGCCCCGAAAATTGGAAGAGTCACGCCCATGTTCTGAGGTATTGCTTTCAGCTTCTACGCACGCCTCTTACGCGTTATGGTCGTCAAAATGGAGGGAACTATATTGAAGTGTTGAATTTAGAAGCCTAGCTATGAATTCTTGTAATCTATAAATTAAACGTTATCCCACGAACCTCTACAACTACTACTAAACTATTCAAAATTGCCCCCTCTTGTTTTTTTTTTTCAAGCAACAAACTCAATCTATCACATTCAAACCTATCCTAATTAGATTCAAAGAAACATGGCTCAAGTACGTAGCGCAAGTCTTTCTCCATTGAAATGAGCCGAACTAACTTAACTATTAGAGCAATGGCGTAACGTCAGAACCGGCCATCACAACGATGAACGGTGCTCCCGTACTAAAGCCAGCATCTACCCAAAGAATTGGCAATCAGCTCAGAGCCACTCTTCTGCTTCAAGATATCAATCTCTTGGAATTGATCCAACATATTACCCATGAGCGAATTCCTGAGCGGTAAGCCGAAGAGAACACTACTCTTCATCACTTATTGCAAGTCTGTATTTGAACTCAACTAATCTGATCATCTTTAGTGTCGTCCATGCAAGAGGTACTAGCGCTCACGGGTACTTTGAAGTTACAGACGACATCTCAGATGTCACATCCGCAGCTTTTCTAAACCGGGTTGGAAAGCAGACCGATTTGTTCTGCCGCTTCTCTACAGTAGCCGGTCGAGCAGAATCTGCCGAAACCGTTCGGGATACTCGTGGTTTCGCTTTCAAAATGTTTACTGAGGAAGGTAACTTAGATTGGTTGTTCCTTAGCACTGTAAGTCAATTTGGACGAGTATTCAAGAAGTGCTCAAAAGCTTATATTCTACTTAGCCTGTCTTCCCAATTCGGGATGGAGCTAAATTCCCATCCTTCACTCATGCAACCAAGAAGAATCCACGAAGTGGTTTACCTGATCACAAGGCATTTTGGGAGTACGTTTTGATCCTTTGCTATGCTATTTAACAGACTTTTGACTCCTTATAGCTACTTCACTCACAACCAAGAGGGGATTCACTTCCTTATGTTCCTCTTCAGTGACCGCGCTACACCGGTCGATTTCCAACACGCCGACATCTTCAGTATCAACACTTACAAGTTCACCAAATCAGACGGTTCATTCACATATGTGAAGATACATCTTAAAACCAACCAAGGAGTGAAAAACTTCACACAAGATGAGGCCAATCAAAAGGCTGGTGTCGACCCAGACTTTCAAACTCGTAGTCTTTATGAAGATATCGAAAATCAAAAGTATCCAACGTGGGATGTCTTTGCTCAGATCATTGATCCTGTCAAAGCCGAAAATTATCATATCAATATTTTCGACGCAACTAAAACATTCCCATTTTCGGAATTCCCTCTTCGCAAATTCGGCAAAATTACACTAAACAGAAACGTGGATAATTTCTTCGCCGAACAAGAGCAAAGTGCTTTCAGTCCAACAAATCTTGTCCCTGGATGGGCTCTGACTCCAGATCCTAGTAAGTTCTTTCTTCTAGTCAACAAGAACTGTGGTTTTCCGTTCATAACAATTCTAACAATCCATCAGTTATTCAAACCCGTGCTCTTGCCTACGCAGACACTCAAAGATATCGCCTTGGAGCCAACTTTGTCCAACTCCCTGTCAATGCTCCATACAACAAGCCCTTTACTCCTCTCATTAGAGACGGAGCTGCTACTGTCAACGGTAACTTCGGTGGTACTCAGAATTACTTCCCATCCTCTTTCTACAATGTTGGAGTGGCGATACAATATGCACAGCCTGATGAGGAACAGTTCCAAGGAACGGTCGTCAACTTCGAGAGTCAAGTCGTCGATGCAGACTACGTGCAGCCAAGAATATTCTGGGAAAAGACATTGGCTAAAGAGCCAGGTCAACAGGATAACTTTATCAGTAATGTTGCGGGTCATTTAAGCTCTGTTACTGGAGACATGGGACTTCAAGTTCGGCAAGCGGTCTATGGTATGAAATATATTCACCCCTAATTTAGGTTATTTACTAACTTTTTAACCAGCAATGTTCGGCAAAGTCAACTCAGATCTTGGCAAGAGTATTGAAACTTCAACAGAGGCTTTGATAAAGCAAAACGAGACTGTAACAGTGACCAAAGATCTGAACAATATCAAGATCAGCAAGCAAAATGGAGTAAAGAATGGAATACTAAATGGTAACAGCCATAACAGTGGTATGTTCGCTCATAAGAATTGGAACTAGGAGATGTTGTTTTTGCTGTATTTGTAATGTATTGTTGGCAGTTGGAGCGAGTAAAGTCTGTTTTCTGAATATACGGTTTGTGTAGTTATAAGTGCGGGGATGCATTTTCCCCAATCGTGTGAACGAGAAGGGGTAAAAGAAATAGAAGAAGAAGCGGATAATTTTAATTTATTTTGGATGTATTTGACGCCTTGCATTTGAGTATCAAGAAAACGGACATCCCTCATTGGAAACTTCTCAAAAGTCAAGCCGCACAAAGAGCTGGAAACATATCCCAAGTTCCAGGAGTTCTGCGCTGTTTTACCAGGTAGCTCGGAATCTCGAATCAATCAACGAGATAAGGAGTGGTTCTTTACACCACACAAACTTAGGGTGAAAGACAGCAGAAACTCATACGAAAGCCGTTTCTTTGCCGCTTAAAAGAGGCGTCGTCAAACAGAAAATTAATCGACACGAATCTCTAATAATCTCGGGAGTTCGAGAGTGCTCAATTCAATCTCTTGACTTAAGAATTCACGTTCCCAGGGCTACCATGGATGTGTAATGTAATGATCTTTTAATATACTGGAATAAGGATAATCATATTGCGTATTGAACAAGGTGGAAAATATGAAGCAAACACGCTTGGGGGGCAGCAAATCCTGTCGCCTATTTTTAAACCCACATTAATTGTAATTTGGTATTGATCGTTATTTGAGAGATAGCATGAACGACGATAATTGAAATTTCTTGGAGGAAGTATGAACGATTGTAGGAGAAACTCAAATAACAATTTTTGAACGAAAAATTCTTCGATTATTTACAAAGCTTCGGTATGATAATCTCTTGTCTGGTTGACCCACGACTGTATGCGCCTTCCTTAGTCCCTGGTATATGCCTCCCAAAATTCCAAACGCCACGGGTATTATTTAAAGCAAAATCTTTCTGTACCAAGGGTGAGCAGCGCCTATATTATGATGAATACCATATGGGAACTGGCATCGATAATTCCGTTTGAGGATGGTTGAAATCTGAATTATGAAAGCCATAGGTCCCTGCTGGCGGGATGCGGTACGGTTCTGGTTCATTGGGCTGTTCTTGATAGCCTCCTCCAAACAACGAATAATGTATATGTTGCTGACTGTCCCATTGCAATGGAGGAGTTTGCTTCCGAGAATCAATGTGTTCTACTGGAATATTGCTTTGTGTTTGCTGAGAACTTTCCGGGATTTGACCACTCGCGACCACCCTCTCAAATAGAGCCGCCCGTTCATCTTGCAACTCCTTCCTTTTCATTTCCAGAATTTTCTTCTTTTCTTTGACTTCCTCGCGAAAGTTCATCAGTCGTTCATTGCTGTTCTTTATCTCTTGAGACAATCGTGAGCGTGCTGCGACCACCTGCCGCTTGGACTTCTCGATATTCTCTTTAATTTTGAGGTCAGAGAAAGCTTTGTCGAAAATGACATCGGACATTAAGCTTCCTTGTGCAATGTTCATCGGACCCAAAGGTTGAACAGCTGGTTGCATTTGACGTGCTTGAGAAACCAACAATTCTACCTGGGAAGAAAGATGATGAGCTTTCGCAAATGAAGATCGTTCCATCATACAATCGAATCCTCCATCAACTCCCCATGCATTAATATTTGATGATTGTAACGCATGATCCATACTCACGATGCATTGGTTCATGACGGTGGAAGCTTTCTGCAAGATCAATAAAACGTTGGATTCGGTACTTAGCAGTAATTGTCCCTCGTCGAACGAGTTTTTGGCACGAGAAAGAAGATGTTCCTTCGTATCTTCCGTTGGGAAATCATGTGATGGACCAGAAAATATAGAATTATAAAGAGCGTCCAACTCAGCTTGTGCTGCATTGTGTTCTTCTACCAAAGGTTTCAACGTCGAAGCTTTGGATTTAGCATCTTGAAGTGTATCGTTCAGATGACTCAGATGACGCTTGGCTTCCAACTCTTTTTGGATTGCATTCAACCATTCTCGGTGCTCTTGCTCTCCCGCCTCGATAAATTTGTCTTTTCTCCCACGTAATTTGTACGCCAGACGTTTGACAGTGGAGCCTTGATATTCGTCGTAGTCTTGGTGTTCCTTTGCACTAGCTGCAACCAAAGTTCTTACTCGCTGTTCTTGCTGGGAGATAATGCTCTCAATAGATGATTGGTATTGTGTGATTTGAATGTAGTCAGACGGTGCATGGTCCGTTCGTGAAAGTATAGAGAGTAGATGCGCGTTTTGAGCGGCTGATGCTAAAATGTGTTGTGTTGCCATGGATAGCCCTTTACTTTGCAAGTGTTGAAACCGCAAGAAATTATCAGAAAGGAGATGGAAGCTTTTCAATGTGTGAAGGCTACAAGGAAAGCGGGAGAATGACGCAAAATTGTGTATCTTCAGACCCATTCGAGCGGTTCGCTGTATATTATGTTAGGGCGTATCCACTCACCGACATGATCGCTTTTTTAGCTGCAGAGTCAGCACAGCCTCAGCTTGTCTGCGCCTTGCGTTTGTGAATCATTCAGTAAATCAAAATCAAGATCAAGGTACGAGAACAATGGCGACAAGAACTTAAACCCCGACTTGTAATTCTGAGAAGCCTTTGGTGACTCGGAATCTTTTGAATGTGGCCATTCACTTGCATAGTTCCACGAATACCATGATACGAGCCTCGATCATGTAGATAGACCATCATCTTTTGATTACATTGTCGAAACTTTGGATGAATATGGAGAGACAATCAACTTCCTGAGTGTTTTGAAGAAAACCGCGCGCATACCAGTTCGCATTTTGTTTTCTTCCATGAAGCGACCTCATCTCCTCGAGCTCATCTAACCTTAACTGGGCTCGAGCTGGGGTAGAATCACAATCGATGAAATGTTGCATGCTTATTTCAATTGGTTTGTAAGCAAAAGAATGTAAGGCTAAGCGAGGACTGTGTGTAGCCTTGCATGTCCTCAATCGGCAGCCTTATCTGCATCTCGACACAAGCAAACGGCGTCGAACCCTTTCTCTCAAGCATCATATCTATGAATCGATACCCCCCCGATAATGATAATCTGTCTGCGAAATCCCCAGGGAGACAACTGACTCAATTTTTTTTCTAAGATTCAATTCTTCGAAAGGGAATCATGTCCGACACAATCAACGAGACCATCGAGTCGAAACGTGAATCTGCCAGTGAAATACCAGAGTCAACCCCAATAAATAATACCCGATTCCGCCGACTCCTAACACTTGCCTCAATAGCAGTCGTCAAACGATTTCGTCGGCGTGGTCCTGGCGTTCTTAATATATCCCAAGGGGTTTGCGTTAAATTTGGCACCTTCAGAACTTTGGCAGAAGCGTCAGCCATGAAATTCATTGGAGAGCACACGTCTATTCCAGTGCCTAAAATCTACTGTTCTTTTGCACATAAAGGAATAACTTATATTGTCATGGAAAGAATACGTGGAAAGCAAATAGCGTGTGGATGGGCACTTCGGACGCCCGAATCCCAAGCTAAAATACTTTCACAAATTCGAGAAATGATTGCAGAGATGCGCAAGTTGACTCCAAAAACGTCACGAATTGCCAACGTTGACGGGGGAATATTATATGATGGAAGACTTGATGGACCGGAACAATTTGGGCCTTTTGAAAACACCAATGAGTTTCACCGATATCTGCGGTCGGATATTCCAGCTCGTCCAAGCAACCCGGAGGGTGTGAATAAGCTTATAGAATGGCAGGATAGGCCTTGGCTCGATCCACCTGTCTTCACACATGGTGATTTGAGTAGTTTCAACATTCTGGCAGTCGGCGACAAAGTGGTCGGAATCATTGATTGGGAGACTGCTGGGTGGTATCCCTTCTATTGGGAGTATACAACGGCCATGTACGTTAACCCGCAGAACATGTTTTGGAAAAAAGAAATTGATAAATTCTTGGATCCATTCCCTACCGCACAAGCTATGGAAGAGATTCGGCAAAAATACTTTGGAGATTACTGAGTCGAAACTACATTAATGCTATTCCACAGGAGTACGCTCCCTGGATTATAGTGTTGAGTCGTGTGAATATACCAGCAGGATTCCAGGGCAGCTATGATCTCTTTCTTACGGTTGCTGCAATGCTAGGCAAATAATGCTGCCAAGGTGGCATTTGAAGACTATAATTTTCGGGGGGGAGGGGGGGGGGGGGCTATGTTGAACTATTTCTAATACCCAATTGCGAGGAGTTCTGACTGTTTTCTTTATCGCTCTTTAGGGTACGTTCGGATCGATTTTCAATTTATTCAAGTAATCTCTAATAATATTAAATGGCAAGGGTATTGAAGTTAATATATTTGAATGGTATTGAAATATATTTGAGTGATATTAAAATGATGTTGAAAAATAATAGGAATAGATAATAATGAAGATTTGTTGAAACTTTACTTGTAAAGCTTCAAAAAGCTGCTTTATAGCTAATGTATGAGGATCTTGAAAGCATTTGCTATTTTAAAAATATTTATCAAATAAATTATTAGGAATTATTAGGAATTATTGATAGCTTCAAGTGTTTGGTAAAACGCATTTATTTGGATTTTATTTATCAAATAATTTATTTCATAATCTCAAACATTTGGTAAATCTATTATTTGAGTTTAGTAAGCAGTATTTACTAAATAAATAAGGTCTAATAATTGAAATAAGCCGAAATAAGTCGATCCGAACGCACCCTTAAGGAGACGACTTGGTGTTATAACAAGCTAAGGTTAGTAGAATCTAGGGAATGTTATAAATATATAATTATCACTTTGATTTACATTCGCATTGCCCATCTGGGACAGTTTTGTTGTTGTGATTTCAATTAGGTATCTCAAAACCCTGATACAGGTATAATTACTTGATCAACGAAACATCCTTACTATACATCGAGATACATTGGATGAAGATGAATTCATTCACAAAAAGAGACCGTATTTCTGTAGTAGGAGGCTAAATTGCCAACCCAATCCCCCGAAGATCAATGCCCAATCCTTTCGGCTCCTCCCAGCCACCCTAATTCCAAGCCCTGAAGCTTTCATTAATAGTTGATTGGTATGATAGCGATTGAAAAGATACCACCGGCCTAATAAATTACTGCCACGTCAAACCATAACGGCGATTAGAATATAGGCTGGTTTCAGATCAGACAATAGGGTAATCAATCAACAAATACACATACGACTTATCTAATCCTGAATACCAACCGTTTAGCGCGAACTATTATGCGACCGCGGTTCGGCTATTACCTGTATATCTAGCCGCGATGGAACCATATACCATACAATTGCTACACGATAACTCATACAATAGGCTATATTCATGAAACAGAAAACTGCAGGAGCATCGTTGGTGCCAAGATCCTTGTGTTAGTTTATGCATGTGAGAAGTTACTGTGCTCTGTTAAGAGATTGGACTGCTAGAAAGACTATTTAATTGCCCACAAGTGTTCACTCCACTTTAACCACCAAGAGTAAAATCTCTTCTAAAGCAATCATGCCTTCTGGCAAGCATCGTCTCTATATCGCACTATATGTTCGTGGTGGCAAACCCACCATGCCGGAGAAAGAAGATACGTAAGAATGCCAATTCTACGCTCCCTACCAAACGTTAGCTAACCATCTCGAACGAAAGATATCATTGGGGTTTAATCGTCGGGCCTAAAAAAGAAGTTGAAGATTCACGAGGAACGCGTTTTCACGCCAAGGAGTTTTTGTCCAAGTCGACTGGAAAATCCGAATTCAAGTACGAAGAGGTGTCTATACCTCTTCTAGCAACGCAGATGCTTTTGGTACGAGTGATGATTGCGAAAATAGAAAATTACGATCGCATGTTGCAGATACTGCGGGCAATTCCTATTAGGAGTAAGGATGAAGGTTGGAATTGTGTGGGGTGGGTAAGAGAGGCATTGGTGGATTTGCAAAATGACGGGAAAACTTTGGGCACAGCTGTAATTGAATGGGCTACGGTCCGAGACGCGGCGATGAACTATTGTCAGAGGAAGAAGGGCGAGCATCGATTTGACGGGGTGGTTGAATGGAAGACGGATAAAGCGGCCACATTTGACTTGGTCGGTGGGAAGGAGGTAATACCTTAGAGCCTTATAAATAACCTTTACAGAAAGGAGATACAGAAGGTAGGAGGACAATTACCTGCCAAGCTATATCATTGTTCTTGTCTGTTTAGATCAATGAGAGACGCCCCGGTATTGAAAGCATTATGAATGTCCAACTTATTTTAAACATTCCAATAAGCTCGGATATCCAAACCACTTTGAAAACTCAAAACATTATAACATTCAAATCATGTGAAATATTAGTTGTCTTCAAATGAAACTCTAGATAGCGGCCGAACTGATGCTACCCTCACAACAGTGAACTCCAAGATCTCTTTCTCTGTACTTTCAGGCATAACCTCCTGTTCCCATCCCAACTTCTCGATATTCTTAAATTAAGCTGTCATTTTCCACTTTGATCCCATTTTTACTCCAACTTCATGTCACAGTCCCTCAAATTGTTCTGCATCATGAAGCCAGCGAACTTCATTCATCAACTCTGTCATTTTCTGGAAAAAATACTGTGATCCCGCCGACTTGGTATCCGACCACCAATGTTCCAACTTCTAGAAGGTCTACCAAACTCTTGGCCGCCGTTATCTGTCCCTCTCGTGTCCATTGATGTAAAACGTAAGTCACCTAAATGATATCCATTTCCTGTTTCATTTCTCCGGACTCGAATCAAGACGTAGAATATCACTTTCGATGTAATCAGCATGAAACTTCTCGTGATCAAGAATTTTTTCGAATTCTAGATCCCAATGATCGATAATATCTAGCCCACACATATTGGTGGAGGGCGCACCATTCAACACAAATCTACGCGAGTTATGACTGATAAAAGTCTCCGCATCTACCAAATTCGCTCCGTTTTTAAGACTTTTAGAATTTTGTCGCATTTAAATGGCGGGAGGTGGTAGGGTTAAGAAACATTTCTTGTCCAGTATATATGTGAGAGCGGATTGCCCATGCCTTTTTGCGCTGAAGATGAAGGTCAAGGAGAGGTTCGATTATAAAAAGTAACAATGTTTTGCATGTGACTCACAATTGCGTTGACATGTGTAGAAGCTCAGTGGATGGGACATTGCTGTAGGACTAAAGAAAATTTCTGGTCTCTGGCTTTAACTTGTGCTTGGTAGTGGCAAGGTACCAGAGGACGTCAGTCATGTCGGAAATTCTTAACCCATGATGGCTCAAGATTTGTAGTAGAACCCATAATTGTACTTAGAATGGAAAAGAATCGGGACTATGTAGTATTCGATTGTTAGAGTTCCAACTATGATTTCTGCTTGGCAAAGTATTTATAGACGGAGGACAACATGAAGTTGTCCAAAAACGGTATCGGCTGTAATAGTACGTAATATTTCACCCATTATGTCGTAGAACATGAATGTTATGGGTTGATGTTACACAACTAAGGATGGAGATATAATAGCATCGAGTGAGAACTGTCTCTTTACCAATGTCTTCCAGCTACCTACCACCTGGTAAGGTTAAGATATGAGATACTGATTGCGCACTTGCGCTGCATAGTTGTATATCGCTGTTACCAATATCTTTCCTGCCTTTTTCGGAACCTTGCTGTCTCAGGATGTATACACATTCGGGGTGTCTGAGGAGGAAAAGCAAACCCTTCAAATGTCCTGATCAGATCAGCATAGCTGTCAATCAATGGTGGTTGGGACCTTTCACATATCACTAGAATGGATCAGCCTATCGACATATCTATTGGTAAGGTGCTGCTTTGGATCGCCCTTCGTGTCCACTGCCGCTAAAGTACCAGTTGTCGCGATATCAATGGTGAATGGAGCTTGAGCTTGAGAATTTGTTCAAAAATGTTGTCAGCCGTTCCCCACTTTCTGCTGCCTCGGGTTATCCCCTAACCCCTCTCAGCCTCCTACATCAAGCTCGCATGCTCAACTTACTCGGACTCTGACCCCTCAGATGCTTCGTTATGATTCATGAAATATTGGAAATTAATGTTCTAATAAGTATAAGGCCTAGTGTTTTCTTGACTATGTAATAAATAATGGTTCCTATCTTCTCTTCTTATTTCCTACTGGAATTCCCTTACCGCTACTCATGCAATCACTGCTCAGCTCAACGCCTCGTTCTTTCCCAGCTGCGCTCTCCTTACATGAACTAATATACGCACTCAATACGTGGACGGCTGCAGATCATTTCGAGCATTTAAATCCTCAGTGAGGTGCAACTTCGCGTCCTTTTTCAGTCCTCCATCTTTGAGACGGTTTATTTCGCGAAATGGCTACATCAAACCCAGCTCCAGATGTTGCTGATATCATCCATCAATCACGTCCAGTAGATACCACAAGTCCATACGATGCCGGCTGGGTAGCAGGAAAAACGATCATTATAACAGGTGGAGCATCTGGTTTCGGCGAAGGTTTCTTCAGAACATGGGCAGAGCATGGAGCAAATGTAATAATCGGGGATGTCAATAGTGCAAGGGGGAAAGCATTGGTCGAGGAAGTGCGCAAGGAGACTGGCAGTCAAAATCATCATTTTTTGTATTGTGATGTAACAAATTGGCAATCACAAGTCGACTTCTTTCGTACAGCTACGGAGCTAAGTCCTACCAAAGGCATTGATGCCGTGGTTGCCAATGCGGGAATTGTAGAAGATCCCATGTCATTTCAGAGACCTGTGGGTCTAGATTTGCCGGAACCACCGAAGCCAAACTTCAAAGCCTTTGACGTTGACATGGTCGGAGTTATGTATACGGCACACTTGGCCATGTGGCATCTGCCTCGAAACCCCAGATCACAAACGGCCAAAGCATCAGCAATCCCTGGCCCAAACACACCAGATAGACATTTACTTTTGATCGGATCGGTAGCCTCAATTGCTCCTCTTGCTGGATCGGTAGAATATTCAGTCGCAAAACATGGGGTCTTGGGGATGTTCCGTTCATTGAGATCTACAGCCTTTGCCAATGGAATTCGAGTCAACATGTTGTGCCCATACTTTATTGATACGGCTATAATCCCTGCAGGCGGTAGATTGTTATTGGCAGGCGGAGCGATGGGCAAACCGGAGGACGTCGTAGATGCCGGGACGAGACTCATGGCCGATACAAGAATAGTTGGTCGAGCTTTGGTCATCGGTCCAAAGGTTCGAGTTGATGGAGATTTTGACTTGTTACCAGAGACTTCAAAAGAAGGAAATGAGAAGGCCGTGTGGGAGGCTTATGCTGATGATTTTGTCGAACTTGAGGTTTTTACTTTAAGATTTATCAAGTTGCTCAATACAGTTCAAAGAATCAGAGGCTGGGGAGGATGGATACTTGATATTGCTAAAGCATTGATGTATCCCATAAGCTTCCTTAGGCGTCGATAGAATGAACCACATTGGAAAGAATCTAGTTGTATTCTAGATTGGCTTAGGCTTATTTGATTATCACCCTGGAATGGGCCATTTAACGGTGTCATGAGCCTACCAGGTAGGTATACTTGAAATTGGTGTGTGATTATTTTCGTCTGCGTCGTGTTAGGGAGTGCATCATGTTGGATTCATCACATAAGAATTACATCTTGTGAAGAGAGGCGATACACATTCCCCCTGATCTTGATCTTGTATTCAGAGTCAAAAGGCCATATACTTCGTTCAATCGTGTATGTATGAGCTATTGATCTATAAAAATATTCAATGGGGTTCAGCATACACTCGAGTGAGGAGCGTGCTATCCACTATGCACTTGGTATTTGGCCTACAAATTTCATTTCAACGTTTCTGATTGTCCAAGAGCCCCCCGCACAATTGAACTATAGATTGCCGATTGATTATATTATACCAGTACCAATATCTCTTCCCTCCATTCTTTCCTCCCTCCGCAACTTCAATAGATCATCGATATCTCTTCCCTGCAAAACGTGGGGAGAAGGAATTCGGATGCGACTTCCTTATTCGTCTCGCCCACGACTTCTAAAAATGATCTGGTGCAATTTACATGTTCCAAACCTCTTCCTTCTTATGACGGATTTACATCAAGATCAATCATTTCTCTTGAAAAATATTCACGACTCCGCCAGTATAAACACGCTCGGATCTATGTAACCGCGCCATACAAACTTTCACTCTATATCTTTCATTATTTGCCTGATCTTGTTTTCTATCGTCAGAATGTGGCAAAAAGAAGATCCATTTACAACTCCTGTAACTTCACCGAATCTTCCATACAGGTGGGCTAGAGCAAATCGTCATCCACGCTTCTCAGGCTTTCGTGTAACCCCAACAAGAATTGGGATCGCCATGATTTTCTGTGCTGGTCTATTTTGGTTCCATGGAACCTTACGTAGAGTTGATGCTGCAGATGTTTGTCCGCCCTACAAATGTCTAGACAATACTGACACAATATAGCCTCCTTCAAAGTCTGTTGTCGATTTGAATAGTAGCACTGTTCCCGGTGTTCCGTTTCAACCGATAGAATCAACAGCTTATAGAACTCCAGACTCCGTTGACGCATTCGCAAGCTATAAATTTCGAAACACTTGCAATATTTCTTCGCTTGATCTTCATGCTCCTTTTGGTCCATTGTGTGCAGATCGACAGTCTATGCTTATGGCTATGGCATCTGGTGGTCGAATTGGATTTGATGCTCCATATATGCCTAGGACTTGTGATTTTCGCTGGTTCACATCGGAGGAGATATGTGAGATATTCGGAAGGTTTGAGAAAGTTGTAATTATTGGGGATAGTATGTTAAGACATGTTACGGGATGCTTCAATATCTTTTTGAGAAAGGATATTGGCTATGGGGCAGTGACGGATTGGAATTTCAGTGTGCAAGAGAGGTAAGCATCATCATGTCTCGTCCCAAAATATACCCAGCATTTGAATGTTTGGGATCTTTTTGAACGTTCCCAGGTCTATTCTATTGTCTCCTACTTGCTTGGTACCTCCCACCTGAGTTTGAAAATTAGAGACTAATGTACCGATAAAAATCAGGAAGGAGTGTTTTTGCAACGAACAATTTGATGTCAAATCTTGCTCAGTGCAAGGTATATATAAGACCTCAGATGTGGAAGCTCATGACCCAGGAAGCATATCCTGTTCAAACTCAGTCAACGTTATGAGTGAGTCTTTATCATCTCGAAGAGATGTCCAGGGCTAACATTCACAACAATAGTGGAAGAGATTGTCTACTTCAACGTTCCGGAAGATGAAATTGCCCGCCTTCGCAATGATCTTCTCGTTCGTCCTACTTCCAAACCCATTGCTATAATATTCGGTCATGGTCTTTGGTCTGATCTTGACCTTCCAAAGACAATCCAATGGCTCGACACTTTGGTTACACTCATCGACTCTACAATTGGTCGGGAGAAGTGGAAAGGTCTTTTTGTCACTCCAAATGCAGCAGGTAAAGAAAAGACGGATGAGTGGATTGTAAGTCAAGGCAATAAAGCATTAATGTTATATGAAGAGGCAGTGGGAATTGAAGCAGAAAAAAGAGGGTTAGAGCATCTAGGGACTTGGAATATGAGTATTCAAGCGAGAAAATATGATGGAGTTCATTTGGATCTGAGGGGGAATTTGGTAAAGAGCATGATGATTATCAATTGGTTGGCGATGTTGTGAGCAGGACGGAATGAGGGATCTTATATGAGAGGAATCACTTAAAGATTATCGCTATTGAAGAGTTTTTGCAAAATGTATCAAGACACAGTATTACAAAGTCAACCTTTCGATTCAGATTTGACAAACGAATTGTCTTTTCGAGGTGACGGTGCTCTCGGAAGGCCAAGTAATTGGCAGTGATTTAGCGACCGTAGATTTGAGGTAAGGGATGAAGTTACATTTCCACCTCCTTAGGCCATCTGGTATCAAGTGAACCAACGCCATCAACCTGTTTTTTGGAACTATTGTTCTTGAGTTATCAATACTCCCTAGATACCTAGGTAGACGTGAGAATGTGAGATGTGATAGAAATTTAAATATTTACATCAAGTACAAACGAGGTTGTCCGTGCGTTACATACACGTCTTCCTCTCCAACTCAAACGCGTTGGTCGAATTGAGTAAAGGGATGAGGGGCAGTAATGTAATTCGATTTCTATCGAAACATTACATTTCCGTATGGATTTCTTGATCTTAATCTCTTTTTCTATTTCATTACTCTTGGATTTTCTGTATGTTCTCACCATACACTACACACTACGTATTCCATGACACCACAACATAACCTGACTTCAAAATGTTAATCCAAAATTCCAAAGATGATTGGCCTCTGGATGAAAAGTATGTGCTCTCACCTTGAAACGATAGCAATTTCTAATTTCCTACTCTCCATCATCAGAGCTTTTGGGACAGAGTTTGTTACTGTTCAAGTTGGCAAACAAAAGAAAGAAGTCGCTTTCCATAAGAAACTCCTCTCCAGTCGTTCCACAGCCTTCGAAAATCATATGAAGTACTCAAAGAGAAGGGGAAATATCAATTCCATTGTGAACCGCGATTCGAAAACGCATTTTCTATCCTCGTCACATACTTATACAAAGGGTATGTCCCAGCGTGTCCCAACGAAGATGGACCCGGATCTAGTTCTTATGGTCGACAGATGAGAGAATTATACTATTTGGCCGAACGATTCGAAATCATTGATTTAATGGATAAGACCATGGATGCAATTCAGGCTCATGATTGTCGATTTGATCGAGACATCTACAAGCACATGCCAGAAGTCTACAAAAATACCACCAGGAAAAGCTCTTTACGGTATTACTGTGCTCTGAGTGCGGCATGGTATTTCGGTCGCCCAAGCTCTCCCAATAGTCAGAAACTGAAACGACTTGAAGCTATCAAAGATAAAGCGGATATTCTCTACGATGTTATGAAGTTGCAATTGAAATTCGAATCTAACATTTCAAATGCAAAAAGCGATTATCGAGTTCCTTCCGACGAAAGTGGACTTGGTCATTGTACTTTTCATACTCATAGGATAGGAGAGATGTGCCAACGACTTGTCTTACTTGCGTCTCCTAAATCCTCTCATGGTAGCAAAACCCACGGGCAAACACATCCGATTAATATTAGGGACGGTGGTAATCGTAGAATGGAGGGTAAGACCAAAGACTGTCCGCAGAGATGTGTGAGCGAAAGTGAAAGTTCCGAAGTAGTAGAAGAGAGAGAAGATGATGAAGACCTTCCCATCTTCACACAAGAGAAGGCTCGGCAGGTCACTGCAACGACTGTCTCGAAGAAGATCAAGAAAGAGGATGGTGACGAGGAAAATGACTTAAATCACTCTGCGAGCACAGTTGTCTTAGGGAAGAGACTGAGGAGTGAAAGTCCAATACTAGGAAGCAACGAGGATGTTATTTCGAATCCAGGAAAACGATCACTTGAAACCAATGATGAGGAAAGCTCAAGTAGGAAGCGACCATTCGTCATAATCAGTGGGAACACTTCACGAGATAGAAAATCTGAGCCTACAGGCCCTAGTCGAGGGGCACAGCAACAACAGCAGCGAATCTGTGACGCACTGGGCTTTCGCAAAGGCCATGATGACGATAGTTCAACCGGTATTAAGCCCAGAGCCCCAGTACTTTTCAATCAATCCAACGGTCAAATTACTACTATGAGAAACGATACGAGTCGTCTCGCATCTGGCTCTATAATGTCGAATTATGGTCGTGGCGTTGATACATCCAGGGTTAGTGCTTTCACATCTCACAATCTCAATTCTACTCCCACTCCTCCCCAGATCTTCATTCTTCCACAAGAAACTTGTAGTAACTTCAACAGATTTTACCGGGGGTGCGATAATAACAAATGCAAGAGATTGCATGCATGTAGTATTTGTAAGGGGGGACATTTCTGCTTTATACCATTGATATCTAGCATTAACCAATACAAATCTGAATCTAAACATATTGCATACATATCTCGTAAATCGAAGTAGCCTCCTTAGAGCTAGTTTGGATATACAAATCCGCACTGGATCCGCTGAATATTCTGCTCTTTTTGAAAACAGATTTTGAATTCATATTTGAACGTCAAATCGCGGATTCTGTTAAATAATCCGTATTTCAATGAATTTAATATATTTCGAGGTGGAAAGAAGGTGGATCATTCTAAAATGATATTAAATAATCCGCGTTTTTCACCAAATTTGTATAGGAAAATAAAGGTACGGATTGAAAACGAGGATTAGAAAAAACAGTCTTTATTTTCAATCTAATAAATAATCCGTGTTTTTATAGACTTTTATAAGCCTTTTATCCTATATTCATATAGTATTATAATAATATTAGTACTTCAAATACCTAAATTTATAGGGTATCTTTATTTTTCTTTAAATCATCTCTGATTTCGATTTAGATTACTTTATATTTCTATTCTTTATATATTAGAATATATATAGCTTAATTTAAAAGTAGATTCTTTAATATTCTTTTTATTATAGTTTTAGATTCTATTAATGATTTAGATTATAAACTGTCTTTTTCTTATTCACAATAAGCAATGATAAGATTGATAATTCTAAATAGTTTATTTCTATCTTGATTTATAATTTAGCTACTATTATTAGCTCTTTTTATTATATTCCAATTTCGAAAAAAAGAATTGATATTTCTAATGAATTTAAAATATAATCTCTTTTTGATTTTAAACATTCTTAATGTTGTTAAGAATAATTGTATATGCTTTTATATACTTTTCGATTTTTGATTAAGTTTTGTTATAAAAAAACAAAGCTATAATATTTTTAATATATTTTAATTAATTAAAAGCTATATATATTTCTCTATATTGTAGGTCAGTATAAAACTATATATATATAGCTAAAGTCTTTTCTTATTTTGAAGAAACAATCTATAGATATGAAAAACATCTTATATAAATCTATTTATTAGTTTATTCTAATATACTTTAAAATAGTTTTATTAAGTTTTAAATACTATAATAATATTATATCTATTAATAATAAAGCTATTAGATTTAATTATACAATTCGCTTTTTTTCAAATAACAGAAAATGAAAAATATTGTATATATTTTGCAAATTACCTAAAAGCTCTTAATAATATCTTTATTCCAGCAATAGTATCTTTTAAAGATCGATTTGCTTATTCAATCGAAAAGAATATACTATATAAAATGTTCTTGTAGTAGTTACTTTCAATTTACAATTCTACTATATATTAGTCAATTGGAAGATTTTGTGAATAATCAAAAAGTACTTTCAGATACTTTGATTTTAAAAGGTTTACAAATTCCAGAAGATTATTATTATTTAGGTAATATAGGATATATAAATACTAGGCAGGTTTTTATTTTATTTAAAGGGATAAGATATCATTTATAAGAGTAATTGGAATCTAATAAAATATTCAAAATACTAAAAAAGCTTTTCAATCTTTGATATTCTTTTTACGAAATAAGATTAAGAGAATTTTTGGAGTATTTAAAATGCACTTTCCATTTTTAATACAATAACAAAAATACTCATATACAACTCAAATATGTATAATTTATACTTTGTACATTCTATATAATTTTATTTAACAAAATAGCTTTGAAGAAGATTTATTCGAAGTTTAATTTGATTATATTATCGATTATATTCCAAGTACTATAAATAATATAATAATGAATTCAAGCAATAACAAATTAGATTCTATTTCGTTATAATCTATAAATTACTTTTGATAAGGAATTACAAAGGCTATATAAAGAGATTATTGTAAGGTGAAAAGAGTTCAAAAAACATAAGAGAAAGAAAAGCAATATTATATTGAAATAGAATTTGATAAGTATATATAATTAGAATAGAAAATAATTATCAGGGTTTCTTTATTTACTATTATCTTCTACTATAGCTTCTGATATTTCTTTGAATTCTTTAAGGAATTAAAAGAAATCTTCTTTTTATTCTATATAATAAAATAAATTCCAAACTTGTTTATATTTTATTCTATCTTTAGGAATTCAAAATCTATATCTTTTTGGATTATAGCTTTTATTAAAAATCCATATTTTTCAGATCCAGAAAGCTTGATATTACTTTTTCTTTTTAATTTCAAAATATCAAAACTCCAAAAAGTAAGATTTCTTTAAATAATATATTATCAACAACTGAATATTTTATAAAAAAGTTTATTAGGATATAAATATACTTATTAATATATTAATAATTTAATATAATAATAAATAAGGAATAGTAAATAAGAAATAACTAGAGAGAAATGACTAGTGAGAAAAAATCAAAATAAACCTATTTAGATAAATCTTTCATTTATAAAAAATCCGAAGATTTCTTTTATCAATTTTTTCGTTTTTTAAACTCTTTAAATTAATTATAAACTGCTCTACACTAGTTTTCCAAGCTTTAATTTAAATCAAAATCCCAGAAAAGTCCAATGCCTAAACTTATATATTAGTATTTATAGAATTAATAAATATTATACCTTTATATTTGTTTTAATTTTTAATTAATATTCAAATCTTTCAAATCAATCTTTTTAAGCTTTCTAACTTTATTATTCTTTTTTTTATTATTAGATTTCTTCTTTTCCTTTTCCTCTTTCTTATTAATATCGATTTTTTTCAATTCTCAAAATCTATTTCGAAATTATTTGATTTAGACTCTGATATAGGGTTATCGTTATTTTGAATAAGGTTTTTTGTTTTCAATATTTTTCTAAATAAAGTTAATTAAAATCAGATTTTTATTTAAATCCATATACTGGAATTATTATATTTCGATATTCAATCAAATTTGTACAACCATTTATCGTACAGGACAATAGCATATCACGATGGAGGGGAATGATTGGACAATAATGGTATAAGTATAAGAATGTGTATATCTCCTCATCTACAGTTAGAACTGATCTCTTCTCGTAGAGAAGAGATCGGATTATATACTGGGTGATCTTCGGGTACCGATCACGGGAGCGGTGATCGGTCCTGCGGCCGATCCGGTTATCGTTGTTCCGCTCCGGAGTATTCTATATAATGAATACCTGATCATCACATGATCTGATCCACGTGGTCTACAACACCGTTTCCGTCACACCATTTTATCTTATTTATTTTTCAATACCTTTAAAAAATCAGAAGTTTTGTAAAGCATTTTCAAAGTATAAAAATCTAATACTTTTTTCTATCTTTTTCTTTTTTGACTTTTAGTTTTTAAATATCATTTTTGCTTTTCAATTATATACATTCTAGCTTTTCGTTTTTGCAAATATTCTTTTTACTTTCCTTATAGCTTTTTTTTTATTAGATTTAGTTATTATTGATATCTTTTTAATTCTTTAAAGCTTAGAAGAGATTCAATATTATAAATATAATACTTATTATTATTATTGTTATTATTGTTTCTAAAAGCGCATTATTTATATTATTTATAATATTTTCATATTCGGAATAACTATATTCCATATTTATTTATTTTTTATTTATTTATAGTGATTAACGTCTAATATCTGACCTCCTAAGGGGTATTCTAGATGTACTAAGGAGCGGGCCTATGGGCTGCTAGTGTTTCAGCTATTTATAGTAGTATAATGTTAGCTAAATAGGGGCTTGTTGTTTTTGGTATTCCCTTGTTCAGTATTGCTCATAGCGATCCTGTGGCTATTCTGTTTAAGGATTTGTGGTCCTGTTTTAAAGAGCCTTGTTTTATATACTATCTAGGTGTCGATAAATAATCAGATCGATCGCTATCGATCGGGAAAGCATTCGAAATGCTTATAATTGTTCAGTATAGATTTTAGATTAATCGAAATAGAGAGTTTATTCTTGGGGTATTGGAATAGATTGGAATTTGTATAGTTCTGTATAGTTTGAGTATATCCTAATATAGAATTTGGATTTAGTAAGAAGGTTAGTAAAGCTATATTGTATTTGCAGAATATGATTGATATATATTATTATGTTTTATTTAGATCGAAATCGATTTGATATAAATGATTAGTTGCTGTATATTGATTATTAATTAAATATTGAAAGAAATGTAATAGGCTTTTCTTAGTTTTATATATACAGATATTTGTACTATTTTCGTGATTGAATCTGATGTAATAGGCTACAAAGTTATCATATCTGGTCCATATCGCTATAAGTCTGTATAATACCCTGCAAAAAAGCTTGAGGCTTTTCGGCTTTGAGGTATTATATATCAGTTTCTATGTATTATACATTTCGAAGATCAGACCCCTTTTTTCCTTCTATTATCTGCTTTCGGAATATCGATATTTGGCATATAGAATAGAATGGGAGTTGCTGACTATAGGGAGGTAGGATAGGCCAGGGTCAAGCAGCCCAGTTATACCCTAATCAACAAAGCGATCGACTATCTCGTTGCCCTCAATTTCAGTATGCCTAAAGAATCATTTGATTATAATATTATAGTATTGCATTGCTTGATAACACTTATGGTATACTCATTGAGAGAAGGCAGTAGCGTTTCCTTATATTTCCCAAATTATTGAAATGCTATTAATATATAACCATATTTGTTCTTAGTAAAGTGATTAATAATATTTAGAAAGCATTCTAGTTCCTGTTATATACTGATTGCCTCAATATCAAAAATATATAATTATTTGTATACACAGTTATAGCTGATATTGATCTATTACTTACCACAATAGATTACAAAGCCATATCCCATACAGTGATTATATTCATTATATTGTTTAGACCTATCTAAAAATACAAAATAGTTTTCTTAAGGAATTAAGTCCCACCATTCCTTAAATGCTTTCGCGATATTCTCTTTGTTTATACCATTTATTGAATTAATACAGTACTCG